AATAAAAAATAAAACATCAGACTTAAGCCCTAACATAGCAGTAATAATTTTACTTTATTTCATTTTTTATTTATTGAGATGGAATTTCACTCTTGTTACCCAGGCTGGAGTGCAGTGGTGTGATCTCAGCTCACTGCAACCTTCGCTTCCCAGGTTCAAGTGATTGTCCTGCCTCAGCCTCCTAAGTAACTGGGATTACAGGCGCCCACTACCACACCCGGCTAATTTTTGTATTTTTAGTAGAGATGAAGTTTCACCCTGTTGACCAGGCTGATCTCCAACTCCTGACCTCAGGTGATAAGCCCACCTCGGCCTCCCAAAGTGTTGAATGGATGTACCTGACCATCCATTCAGTACCTGACCATCAGGAATTATTTTAGAAGCAAATGGTCTGAGTACTACAATTAAAAGACAAAGATTGGAAAAGTAGATTTTTTTTAAAAAATGTCTCAAGTAGGCCAGGTACAGTGGCTCCTGCCTGTAATCCCTTCGGGAGGCTGAGGCAGAAGCATCACTTGAGCCTAGAATTCGAGACCAGCCTGAGCAACACAGGGAGAACCCATCTCTATAAATAATTTTAAAATTAGCCGGACATGGTGGCACATGCCTGTGGTCCTAGCTATTCGGGTGCTGAAGTAGGAGGATCGCTTGAGCCAAGGAGGTAGACGCTACAGTGAGTACAGTCAGCCATGATCACACCTGTCTTAAAAAGAAAAAAAAAATTGCCTAAGTATATGCTGTCTACAAGAGATGCATAACAAACATAAGGACATAGGTAGGTTGAAAGTTAAAAGATGGAAAGAAGTATGTTAATTTTTTAAAGTAACAATAGCTATATATAATGATTTTTTTGTGTGTGTGTATATATGTGTGTGTGTGTGTGTGTATGTGTGTGTGTGTGTGTGTGTATATATATATATAGAGAGAGAGAGAGAGAGTTGTTTTTTCTTGTTGCCTTGACTCACTGGGCTCAAGCAATCTTCCCACCTCAGCCTCCCAAGTAGCTGAGTCTTATAGGCATGTACAACCATGCCCCGCTAATTTTCTTTTGATTTTTGTAGAGAGGAAGTCTCACTTTGTTGCCCAGGCTAGTCTCAAACTGCTGGCCTCAAGTGATACTCTGCCTCAGCCTCCCAAAGTGCTGGGATTACAGATTACCTGGCCTGGAGTGACTAACACCAGACAAAGTATATGTCAGAGAAAAGAAGAAAGGATCAATCCCACTGAGAAAACGTAGCAGTTCTAAATGTATACACACCCAGAAACAAGAGTGTCAAGATACGTGAAACAAAAACTGACAGAGCTAAAAGGAGAAGTACACAAAGTCACAATTACAGTTGGGGACTTCTATGTCCCACTGTGAACAATTGATAGAACTACTAGACAGAATGTTAGTAAAGATGTAACAGTGCCATCAAACAACAAAATCTCATAGACATTGATAGAAATTCCACTCAGTCACAGAATATACATTCTTCCCAGGTGTCCCCTAAACACTCACCAAGATGGATCTTGGGTCATAAAACCAACTTTAATCAATTGAAAAGATTGAAATTATGATGGGACATGGTGGTTTATGCCTGTAATCCCAGCATTTTGGGAAGCCGATGTGGGAAGACTGCTTGAGACCAGTCAGTTTGGGCCACATGGCAAGACCTCCATCTCTTCAAAAAAATGTTTTTTTGTAAATTATTCTGGTATGGTGGCACGTGCCGGTAGTCCCAGATACTTGGAAGGCTGAGGCATTAGGGTCTCTTGAGCCCAGGAGCTCGAGGTGGCAGTGAGCTGTGATCATGCCACTGTAGTGCAGTCTAGACGACAGACTTCGTCTCTTAAAAAAAAAAACTGAAATTGGAATTATTTCAGGTATACAAGGTTAGTGCAATAATCAAAACTAATCTGTCGGCCAGGTGCGGTGGCTCACGCCTGTAATCCCAGCACTTTGGGAGGCCGAGGCAGGCAGATCACGAGGTCAGGAGATCGAGACCATCCTGGCT